AGCAACAGGCTTTATAATATGATACTTTTTGCAAAACCAAGAGTTGCTTCTCTTTGAAAACATTGGTGCCAGCTCAAACTGAGCAGATATAAATGCATTTATGTCTAATCAACTAAAATTACTGAAAAATAATCAGTATTATTCCAAACATAAAATATATCAGATTAAACTTCCTTTGGGAAAATGCCTCACTGCCTTCTCCGAGTGAACACACTGATGTTATTAACTCTTGGATTTTGTTTCTCTGCTCTTTCTGTGTACTGGAGAGAAGAACAGAGCACCAGGTGCAGCTACCCACCTTCTTGTTTCCCTTCCCCTTTTATATTCTCTTCACAGATTTATTAAGGCAGTGGTTGAAATAGGTAGCTATACAATGTTATGCCGTGCTGGCCCTTCTGAATTACAGACAGATTGCTGTCCTAGAGGGATTTCTAAATTTTCATTCCGACATTTCTAGATTTCAGCTTTGGCCACTGGATAAGGAAATATGTCTTGTGCAATGAAGCTGAAGAGAAATTAAATTTTTCTGAAATTAGGGTTATCTTATTTCTGTGGTAGTACTTAGGCAGAAAGAATTCTTCAGGGTATCTTCAAATCTTCAGTGCAGTGTGGCTTGTATGTCAATGCTTGCAATGAAAATCTATCACATTAGGGAATGCTCACCTCCTGCCTGCATGATTCCCAGTAGTTTTGTGATGAGTTATCTTGCAGAGTGGTGTAGGGTTTTAATACAATAATCTGTACATTAGCAGCCGTATGTCATGCCAGGGCTAAACCATCCTGACCAAAAGAGGAGCCACAAATCCCAGGGCATTAAAATTCACTAAACTTCAAAATTATGTAAAAGTAATATATTGAATTAGCTTAGATAGCTAGTGTCTTTTTTTGAAGAAGATTGATTTCCTTCTCAGTGTTGACTTTAAACCCCGGTACAACTCCACACCTTGAAGAATATGCTGTAACATTGTGAAAAAACTTGTAAAACAACTAAGTGTAGAAGTCAGGGGGTTTTTTTGGGGTGGGGAGGGGCAATCAGGTTTAGCAGGCTGGGATTCAAGGCTGGAGCATGTAGAGTCCCTCATGTAAACATGAGCTTCCAAAGGCCTTTGGAGGGGGCCAGGAGAGCTGTGCTGGATTTCATTTCTCTTTGAGCATGCTTTGAGATCAGATGTCCTTGAATGTTGCTGGCTTTGTAAGAGCACTGGATTAGTAGTGATTTAGGCTATTTCACTATACAACTTATTTCCTGATCAACTTGACTTTAGTTTTAAACAATTTCGGCATTCACTGCTGATTCATAATTTGTACAACTATTAATTACAGTAGTAATTTTCAGTGTTTTCCCCATGGTTTCTGGAACAACAGCCAGAAATGCCTGCTCTGCAACAACATTTTTGGTTTGAGATTGGCAGTAATACCTTTTTCTAAACCAGAAAATTACCATCTCACATTTGAATTGAAAGCTGCCACTTACTTTTAGTGGAGAGAGAGAACCCATTTAATTGATCCTCTGTATGGGAGTAGTAAAAGCAGGCTGTAGTGCTTTTTAAGGCAAAATATATTTTCAGTAATGAAGACCTATTATTTGCCTTACGTAATTTTCCTCAGTTTTATAGTTTGTTTTTGTCTATTAGCGTAAGAGTGCTAAATGATTCAAACCCTCTGATCTCTCCCCTTTCTCAATGTCTAGGCGATGGGCCAGAGTGATGGATAAAGCCAACTGGTCCTCTGGGAAAGGTGGCCCTTGTTTCAACGAGGAAATTGTGAGGGCTATACGGAAAGTGATGAAAATGTTCTTCATTGCTGTTATCTATAAAAAAACCCTAAGTGTATTTGTCCTCAGAATAAGGTTGATTATTCTGGGCTCCTACCACTGGGAAGTGGTCGTTTTTCTACCTGTGAATTTTCTGATCTTTCCACCACTAAGAATTCTCTTAGGCAGATCTGCCTGACTTTGTGTGTGCAAGCCCATTTATAGCAGGAAAGGGAAAGCTAATCCCAACTGAATTTCAGTCACCTTTGCCTTCTGGGATATATAGAATTTCCCTTGAAGTTTGTACAGAGTCTGCGGTCGGTGCAAAACAGACCTACTGACTCCTTTGATACTTTTAAGCTTCTGCTCCATCAATTGTGCAGGCTTTTGGTTTATTTCCAAGTTCAGTCCAACATTCTGGTTTTGATCTAGAGTCCCTGATGTTATTTTGATCTTTTATCTTGCTATAACTTTGTTTCCTTGTGTTTGTTCCTAGTGGTGAGGTTGGTTAGGAGCGAAATGATTATTTCAGGCTAAAGGTTGTGGTGAGTGCAAGACAGAATTTTTAGATTCGGGGGCACCTGAATGGTCCGGCAGATCAGGAACTTCATTTCAAGAAATGTTATATTATCTTTCTTGCCTAAAGCCAAGTGCTGAAGTTGTGGCTATTTTGGACACATGGACGCTAAAAGATGTTGGGGTAAATGTTTCTGTTTTATGGAAGAGGAAGGAGAATATAGGACTTGATGGGCTTTGTGTGGATTCTCAGAAGAGCAAATTTTCTAGCTCATGAACAGCAGGAAAAATGGAAATCACAGTGTCCAGGGCAGTTCAGTCAGTTACTAGTTAAATGATAAAAATTTCACAGATTAATTTGTATTTTTGTATAAATGCTGTTGTGAGGAGGATACAAAATGTGCCTTCATTTACTCAAGGAGTTATTTCCAGATTGCTTTTATACTTTATATATATTGGGGGGGGTGTGGGGTGTGGTATGTATATATGTATTTGTGGGGGAACTTGTGTTACAGGTAATTTTGAGGGTGAGTGCTAGTACTGTTAAATCTTTTCCTGAGGTGGATTGAAAGTGTTGGGGTTTATTCTGTGTATACATACAATCAAAGCAAATCTATGTTTTTAAGTAGAAGCAGATTCTGAACCCTAGATGAAAGTCATGCTTTACCTTCTGTGGTGCAAACGTTTTATTTGGCTTTCTTTGGGAACAAAAAGTTTATCTGTTTGTCCGTTGTCACCATTTTCAATGTACTAAGTCGCCTTTGTTTCCTTGAAACAGAAGATTGCATGTGGTGGGCTTACCTAACACAGCTTCTGATACCCATTTTTTAATTAAGTTCCCAGCTAAATATATGCTTTAAGGGGTCATTAAGGTCTATAAGGATGACAGGAAGGCAGCACAGTTCGAAGATAATAAAGTCATGTAGCACTACTAAAGATGAACATATGAACAACCTCCTTTCTGAGGTAATATGGCTTTTTCTTGATATTTCTTTTTACCTAGAAAAATATAAAGTTTTAAAAAATTGAATTCATACGCTTTCTTCTCTGAGTTGCCATATATAGAAACACAGCACCTGCACTTGGCAAGTCCTCTGATTTTGCTCTCTCTTCACTTCTGCCTTTGCTTTTTCCTCTTATTCCTGCCCCTCAGAGCTCAAAAATGTTTGTATCAAGGTATTATTCCTATACAGGAGTTTCAAGGGTATGATACTACTATTGTTAGTGCCGTGGTAGAAAAGAAATGCCAAGCTGGGAAAGAAGCGCAATAAGGACTTGATTGAACTCCCATAGGTCTGCCATTGAAGATTCTCATTATCTTGTACAGACTTTTCGTTCATCTTGTGCTGTATTGTAGCCTCAGTGTCTGCAGGGCACAAAGTCATCTGCTCCAGTTTAGTGCGTGGCGTGTAGATTATTGAATCAAAAATGTGACATTTATGGATTTGCTATTCAGAAATAAAAAAAACCTTCCTCAATTTAAAGTTTTTATGAGTGAAATAATGAGATATAATCAAAACAAGAACAAGGGTGCTTGTTTCCAGTCAGATAAAATGGTGAAAATTCATTGGTTTTATACTAAAGGATGAAACAGTCTTGAAACCACGCTTTTTCTACATATGTGTCAGTGTGAATGAAGCAGTATATTCCATTGATATAGGCAGCTTTACGCAGGTATGCACTTGCTCAGATACTTTTTTTTAATAATCAGGAGACTTGACGTATATCTTGTATTAAGTTCTGTCATGCTTACACATGAAAATGCTGACTGAAGTTGCGGCCCGGTTAAGATGACGGTATTGTTAAGTGCCATAGTTGGAGAGAGAGAGAAAGCATTTCTCTATAAAGACACTTAAATGAATGCGTATATATATGAACACGTCTGAAAAAGCTGAAAATTAATTTGTAATAGTCAGGTAGGTAACAATGGAATAAGGCTGTGTGCATGGCGAGGTGACTGTGGAGCAGGCCCCTGCGAAAGCCTGGGGAGCCATGCCCTCTGCTGGCATCGCCTGCCTGGCTGCAGAGCCCGCCCGGGTACCCCGACTGCCTTCAGGTGGAGAGAGCTGAAATCAAAGGCTGGGGAACTTGCTTTTTGAGAATTTGACAAAAGATTGAGGTCTGAGAAATGAGGCAAAGCGTCAGAGTTTCTGGAGAAGAACGTGACATTCCGAAAATGTGGTCCAAAGCTCTTTAAAATAATTGGGAGTCCTTCCAGCAACTTTCAGTGTACTTTGGGTCAGGCCCGCAAGTTCTTGAGACTTCAAGGAATTTAAGACTAGGTCTAAATCCAGAAACCTTGTGTTTTTCCCAAGAATATTAAACTTTTTGTCTTCAGTCGGTTGCCATATATAGGCAAAAAATGTTTTTAAGAAGCCAAAGGGTGTATACAAAAATAGTCTTACTTTATATTAGAAATACTGATTGGCAAAACTCCAGTAAATTATTCTTTATCTGTTTGATCAGATTTTATACAATTATGTGTAGTTCTATTTTTTCACCATTGATACATGTATTCTTCCCAGAAATCCATCAATAAAACCACCTCTTCTGTCTCCATTTTTCTATTCTTCTGTGTATTCACATTCCAGTCACAGTTTTGAGTCTGCGTAATTTTGTCACTTAGATGGGTGCAGTAGTCCTCATTAATAACCAAGCATAATTTATTTTTATGTAGTTTATTTAAAATTGAGTATGTTTTTAATATTTTTTCTTTTCTTTTAAAATTTAGGTGGAGAACAGACCAAAGTATTATGGAAGAGAGTACGTATTTTCCTCTTTTAAGTATCTGTTGGGTGTATCCAAAAGTTGTTGTTCTAGAACTAAAACAAAAAGACCCAATGGAGGTCTAATAAAATATTTTACTTCACTTTTCACTTCCACTGGGAGCTAAATATATTGAAAACCTAGAAATTTAGCTATGTTACAGTCCAGTACAGCTGCTCAGTCCATGGACTGTACTACTACGTGAGCCTGCATGGTTTTTTTTGCTTTTCTGAGGACAGTTGGGAAAAAAATATTGTCTGGGTTATTTCTTCCTTTTATTTTCATTGTCACCTAAACCTCCCAGTGGTCCTGCAATGGCTGGGGAGGAGAGAAGCAGCTTGCCTCTCTCACTGCCTTTTTGTATATGTTCCTATACTTTCACCACCGTACATGGTTGTGCAAGTATTCATCTATACTACTGCATGTGTAAATGCTGTTCTCCCTGCTAAAGTCATGAGCTCCGAAATACCCAAAGAAGAGGTGTATTTTTGTTGTGAGGAAAATAATGGACCACTAGAGTGTAATTCCTTTGTGCTCAGCAGTCTTCTTGCCAATAAATAACTTGAAAAGGGCTGGATCCTGCATTGGCATGGAGATTTGGGCAGGTTGAAGGGCATAGCCACTGCAGCAACCACCCAGATCTGGCATTTGGCCTTTACTAAAGTAATGTACCGAGGCTTTAGCCCTTATCACTAGCTAACTTAGTTAGATCCCATCTTCTATTTTCTCTTCCATCCCAGACTCATCATCTGTGTTTAATGATCCTTTTCGACCATCAAAAGCCTAAAAGCCAGCAGCTTTGCCCCTAATTACTGTAATTTCATTTTTTAAAATATTATCTTTGACAACAGGGAATTCGGATCTAGCCGCTAGAGTACAACAGAGCTGAAGACAGTACCTAGCTGAGTAACCCGTCACACTTCCTACAGCAGGACTTGTAAATCTCTTATCGAGGAACCTGCCTGGCTGTTGACATATTCTGGGTTTGTGGGGCAGCGGGGCTGGCAGGGACTGTAAGAAGTCACCTTGGTGAACCTGCCGAGGCAAGATCACATTAGTTATTACCATTCAGAAAGATTTCGGAACCACTGGGGCAGTCCTATAAAAGCAGTTGGCTCAGTGCTTGATAGTGCTTGGAAAGAGAATCAGGAATTTCTAGGGAAAAAAAAAATCATAATTATATGACTATACAAATCTGTGATGTGGCTGCATTTTAAACAGCACACATAGTTCTGGTCCCTCTCTACCCTTTCCTCCTCCCTCCTTTTTAGAATGGTTATAGAAGAAATGAAAGGTACAGCGAAGTAAAGGGAAAAGGATGCAGCTTCTACCCTAGGAAGAAAATGAACAGGTCTTCCTCAGTGGGTGTCCAAGAGAGGGACATGCACAGCATCCCTCTCAAGTTCATTGCCACGAGGTGCTGTGGAGACCAAAAGCATAAAGATATTAAAGGGTTTACAAGCGAGATTCTCAGATTCATGAAGGGTAAGGTCATAGCTGATCAGACACAACTTCTGGCTAAACCAGTGATGGATGGACAGGGATGTGAAGTGAAAGAAATATGTCACTGCTTCCCGTACTCTTTCTGTAAGCATTTCTTGTCGACTGCTGTCAGAAGCAGATGTCTGGTTCAGGGGATCTTGTACTGTGTAGAAGCTGGTTTTATGCCCTTATAAAAATGTACAAAAAATGTCCATGAGACAGCTTGGATTACCCGGTGCTTTTCACCCATGGTTAAAGAAATTTCACAGATGCCCCAGGTATCCTGTCCCAGTGATTTCTTAAATTGATCACCAGGAGAGCGCTTTTCCTAATATCTAACCTAAAGCCTGCTATATTTTATAATGAGCTTCTGGTGGTGAATAGCTTGTGCTCATTATTTTTAACTAGAGTTATGAATTGCCATGAGTTACTGGTAAAGACATGCTTAAATTATATCATCTAGGGGATGCTCATTTCAATTTGGATATGGCAGTAAGTGAGTGTGTCCCCACCAGTACAGACAGAAAGTATGAATCAATTTACATCACTTTGAATAGAAAGTCACTCTGGAAAGCTCACCTAAACCTAGTATTTCCAACATGTATTAGTTGTGAAAAGGCAACATAACGAGAACAGAACAACAATTGCATTTACATCCAATGTGTTTTTCTTCTCTTTCGCTACCAAGCCAGAGGCAGTGTTAGGAACGTGCCACTTCATATGTATTGTCAGAAAAGAGAAAATGCTGAAGGCCAGTATGTTTTAGTGCATTTTTTCAGACAGCAGCAAAAATAGAAACTTTCAAAACCTCTGATGAGACCCTCGGAGACTTATCAACTATAGGGTGTAGGAGTTAAGACGCAAACTGCTGTAAAGACTGCATTTGTACTTATGGAGAGATCACCGCTAAATATTGATTATCATAAGGTTAATTGTGCATCGTAGGGCCTCTTTCTTTCTTAAAACAGCAATGACAAAAGAATCGGAGAATTATGGCTTTTTTCCAACACCGAATGAGGAACTCATTGAAATGAAGAAAGTATTTTTCTCAAGGCTACTCTGTAGCTTTCTACTTTAATATATGGAGAATAGAATTTTGAATAGTTGTTATTTTTTGTCTCAGTTTCCCTTACAAATTTGAGGAAGCAATGTTAATATAGAAATAAAGCAAACTGATAATGAGTGACCTCTCATTTTAAGTCATCTCCATTTAAAAAACAAAATGCCTTTATGCCTAGTTTTCAATTCTGTTGTAAGGCCCCTAGAAAGGAGACAAGGAAGAGGCGCATGGACTGGTAGAGGGGTAAAGTTGTGAAAAGATGGGGCATTTACAGAAAATAATCTTTGGGTGCGATTGAGTGTTATACAGACTGAAACTACATATACAGTGTAATTTTTGTTTTGCCTCTTTGCTGGACTTGCCCAGGCTGGATGACTGTCCTGCTACTTTTAGATGCCTGGTCGGTGGCCTGATGGCTTAGACCACGATGGTCTGCAGTGCAGAAGTTTTCAAACAGTTTTTGGGGTGGAGGAGGAGGTGTTTCTGGTTGGATTGTTCTGTAAGTCACTGAAATGTCTTCCCTTAGGTTTCACGGGATTATTTCTCGGGAGCAAGCAGATGAAATACTTGCTGGGGTAGAAGGAGCATATATTCTTCGAGAAAGCCAGCGGCAACCCGGCTGCTATACTCTTGCTCTCAGGTAAATGCTATTTTAATAGAGGCTTATAGTTCAAGTGTAAATGTGTTTAATGGAGGGGATTATATCAGTCCCTTTTGAGTGCAGTCTATGTCCGCCATTACTTAATACACTTCATGGTGTCAGAGTGATTTTACACCCTCTTCTCAGCAGTTTGACTGTCACAGTACTGCAGCAATTCAGTCATTCTTTCAGCACTTAACTGGGAAGTCCCTTTTCAGAAGCAGACTCTGCCCATCTTCAAAATTTTTGCTACCCAGAGTTGAATGTTGTAAAGATGGAGCTTCTCCTTGAAAACTGTGTAAGAGATGTGAGTGAGTACATAACAGGAGAGTGTCCCAGCAGAGGACATAGCCAGGTTGTCCTCTGAGCTCAGCAACATGTTGTACACAAGCACTAGGAACCATCAGCGATAATAACCCTGGACAGACCTGGAAAATCATGAAGTCCATTGGCTGGCCAGCTGTCAAAGGCAACATACTGGACTTCAGTTTTGTTCCCTAACTGGAATTCAAGTTTGCTGTGGAAATACAGTGTGAAGCGTGGGATGCTGCTGCTCCAAGAAGTAAGAGTCTGCTATTCAAGTGAATCAAAAGTTCAATGGGAGCCCAAGCTACAACCTCATTGCCCCTCACAAGTGCCTTTTCTTGAAAATACGGCTGCTCGTGACTTAGCTGTGCCATTCAAAACCTGTCCACGCAACAGTCTTAAAGTTGCTGTGGGATAGTGGCAAGATATTCTATTGGGTTTTGACACAACAATCTCCTTGGCAATATTTTGCAATTTTTATAGCATTATTACTTCCGTGAGATATACACAAAATAAAAGTCTGCATTTTTACCCTTCTGCTGGTAAGCCAGAAGGAAAAATCCTTTAAGGAGTTACCCCAAGTAGCTGTGATATGGTGCTGAAATCATCCTCAGAATTCATATTGATGTGCAGATGGTAGAGCTGGAAAAGCTGGTAAGTCATGCCAACTAAAAAGTGGTGTAAATTAAAAGCAACTTTAGTCAGCTGAAAAAGAACAAATGTAATTTTTTAGGGTTTTGGAGAAAGATTTCAAAATAAAGAATAAAAATAACTATGAAAGGATGGAGATTATGGCAAAGTGCCTGCTGTTTTGACACAACAGCACAATTTCTAAATCCATCTGGATAATTATTTGTAGAATCAAAAACTGAATTTGATTATAAATTGGGAATTCATATGAAAAATGTGCATGAAAAAATAAGAGGCTTAAACACTTTGATTTGAATGCTCAATGAAGTATGCAGAATCATGAACATTTGATGCAATATAAGGGCCATTTAATCCAGTGCCATATCTTTGAATCCTTTAATCAAGAATGGGATTCCAATCTCGGTGTTATAAACTGAATGTGCTACTACAGCACTCTGGTTTCTAAAACACTTCAAAAAAAAAAAACCCATAGATTACACCTGCCATAAATAGGGCCAGAGTTATCCCGCAGAACCTTGGGTATTTAATTGGGCCCCTGAATTAGGAGCTCAGTCTCCCTGACTTCATGCCAGAGGGTGATTCGGACCCTTAGGATTTTAATTACTTGCTAGAGATGCCTGTCTCTCTTCATTGACTGTAAATATGCTCATGGTGGTTAAGCATCCACTTTCTGCACCTCAAAAATGTTTCGGGATAGGAGAGCCTTTAACACAATTATGCATTCTGGTGTAAAGTCTTGTCAATGCAAACATGCCTTTCCGATTGCTGCAGTTGTCCCTTTAGGATTTAGATTTAAACCACATAAATCTGGGTTGCGTAGCTTGTTGTGGAGACTTGGCCTCAGTTCTATAGCCCAGTCCATCTGATTCAGTCAATTTTTGGTTTGAACTTGAGTTGGTCTCTCCACAGAGCTCCAGTTGCAGCCGCATGCATATTCCATATGTAATCCAGACATATAGACTCATCAGCAAAATTACCTCTTGAGTGTTTTGCCAGTATGAATTCTCTCTCTCACTCTTCCCTCTCTCTCTTTCTTCTCTCCCTCCTTTTTTTCTGGTATTTACAGATTTGGTAATCAGACCTTAAACTACAGGTTGTTCTATGATGGGAAGCACTTTGTTGGGGAGAAAAGATTCGAATCAATTCATGATCTGGTTACAGATGGCTTGATAACATTGTATATAGAAACAAAGGCTTCTGAGTATATTTCCAAAATGACAACAAACCCCATCTATGAACACATTGGATACGCAACTTTGCTTAGAGAAAAAGTGTCCCGGAGGCTGAGCAGAACAAAAAATGAATCAAGAAAAGCAAGTGTAACGAGTGAAGAAAATACCCCGGTTGAAAGAGTAAGTATTCAGTTTAAAATTTTGGCAATTAATACCAGTCTTTCTATCAAATCTGAGAGAAAAAAGTGTTTTGTCTGAGGACCTGTTCCTATTTTTCTATACTTCATTAAGTATTACTATCCCACTGAAAAGTTTATATCCTGTTAATGTGATCTTGGCTCCAAACTAATATTTGACTGGAGCTTATGGTGAAAGCTTTCTAATAAGTATCAAATGCAAATGTTTTCCCTGTGTAAATGTATGTATATATACTGTCTAACTTACAAACTGCATCTGAAATCATTTACCAGTTATGTTTCTTTGTCCATGTACACTCAAGCATATTCCGTAGTAGGATTATAAAACTGGTTCCCACTGACCCTTCACCACAACTCAAGTTTGTTATCTTTCCATTGACAGTCCACAGCTCCTCTTTTCTGCCAAGTCTTTGGTGGATGGGTCTCAAATTGGGGTATTGTGTGTTTTCTTCTCTTTCTTCTCATGGGTCTGAAATTGGGATATTGTGTGTTTGCCTCTCTCTTTTCTCACTCTTTGCATTTGAAGTGGACTTTCCTTGATACCCTTCTCTCATGTGCCTGTATCCCATAGCACTGTATGGACTAGGACTTGTTTACATGACGATAAATTGAGAATTTCGTGCAGTTAGCAGCCATCTGAAGATGTAAAATTAGAAATTCTTTTACATACGAGAAACAGTCTTGTAAGCAGTGACATGTGGATATTTTCATTTCCCAGGTGGTAAGGCAGTAAGAACTGTCAAACAAAACTTTTTTTTTTTTTTTTAGTCCAGTGTTTGTGCTGAATTGACTTACTGACATTTGTAAGTGTACTTCTGCAGTGTGACTGATGATTTTAGTGTCCAATGTGCTGGCTAGCTAGTTGGGAACTAGAGCCGATTTCTGTTTGGGAAGCAGGGATTGAATTTGCTATCATATAGTAATATTGAGCATGAAAAGAGATCAGCCTTTTTGTGTATATCCTCATCACTAGCATAATTATCTGTTGGGTTCACAAATCTGCATTGGCTGATTATATACTGGTTTGGATTTCTCAGTAATAATAGTTGCTTGAGTAACTGACCTGACATGTAAACCTATTCATCCTCTATAACAAATTAATTCCATTAACAATGACATTTTTTAGGGAAGGCACACTGCCGCAGGGAAGTCCTTTGGAGAATGGCACAGCAACAAGTCCTCTATTCAAGTTTTATTTCAAAATGAGTCCAATGATAACAATAGGTTTTGGTTCAATTGGATGTTATTGTAATATGCAAGAGGAGTGGATGCCTTTGAGGCAGGTTTCATGCTCCTTCAGTTGATTTCAGTGATGGGACACTGGTTGATTTTGAATGCTGTAACAAGCACAAGAAAGTGAATTTCAATTTTGTTTGAGGCACAGTAAGAAATAAACATAGTGCAATGTGACAGACTTTTTTGTGTAGGTGTTTTGTGTAGGTAGGAGAAGGGTCCAGGGGATATTCTGGAAAAGTTTCTTTTATGTCGAGAAAATACTGGACCATCATTGGGATGACTGTAAATATTATTACATGACTGCAGTGTAATAAAGCAATCATGACAGTTGAAAATCATACTACATTCTCTAGGAAGTCAGGAGAAATTTTTTTGTACAAGGAGAAACACAATTTCAAAATTGTGTTCAGTTTTGCTTACAGTTCTTGCAGTTGAGGAGCAATGGTCTTTTGTATCTCTCAAACTGCTCTCAAAGACTTCAGAGGGGTTTGTAGTAGTACCATGTATTTCCTAACAGATTGTGCTTTCTGTTGTGCTGGGGGTTGGATGTAGTTTTTCAGGCTGGGCAGTTTTGAGTAGATACCGTAAAAACTCATTTAGACAAAAGAAAGCAAAGTGTTGCTGAAGGGACCCCTGCCCTCGCCCTATCTCCTTCAGCACCGCCTTTTTGCTGACGACGGTTTTATGCAGCTACACAGAAGGTGACACTACAAAATGGCTCCAGATTAAAACTGACTCAGCCATAAAAAAAACACGTGAATTTTCAGCCAGGTCTGCTACCTGATCCACTTCATATCAGTGAAAATGCAGCACAAAGGAGAGGGTAAAACTTTTTTCTGATGCCAGCTCAAAAAACGATAAGATTGCCTTAAAGTGAGTGGAGAGCTGCATCCTTACTTCCAGATGCCTGTGCTTGAAAATCTCTGGACTTGATAGGACTTGCTGTCGATAGTGAAAATACACCTGTGAACCTCATTAGTGATTGGATTAGGTCTTTTTTTGTATTGCAGCTGAATGAATTTAAAGTGTTTAGAGTATTATTTACCTCTGAGAGGGTTCACGATGCAAAAGGCAGTACCGCGGGTACTTACCCTAGAAGGACTGGTGCTCGTCTAGATTTCCTTACATGCAGGCAGTAGCAGCCTGCAAGACTGGGCTGCGGGGCCGCGCTGTCGTGTAAAAATAGCTGGCTTCAGCTAAGCCATTATGTTGTTGGCATCCCTCTCTGCCTTCCTCCCACTGAGGGAAAGCAGCAGAAGGAGGAATAGCAGCTGTTTGTAACATATTTTTTCTTGCCAGGAGGAGTAGGAGCAATCACAGCCACAAGAGGAGTGGGGCTAAATAGGCAAGGTGATCTGCTCATGGGCTGAAGACCTGTCATAGCAGCTGAAGCCTTGCTATTGAGGATTAGGACTCCCAATGGGCTTCTCTACCGCTACCGGTTGTTTTCCATCACAAATCCATGTGAAAAAAAAAAGGTTACGTCAACTAAGCTATTAACAACTGAAAGAAATTCACAGAAGTCTATATGGTGAAGCCTGCCATGGTTGCTTGCAATTCATATGTTGCTGGGGGAAGCTCATGAGAGGTTTGGGTAGCAGACAAAGATTCAGGAGTTATCATTCCCATTTCTTCCTCACAGTAAACTCAGATGAAATATGGACTGGGCTTTGGAATAAGCTGGTGAGATAGCGAGCATTTGTCAGTAGTAGCATATAGGGATAAAGGAGGATAAAGGGAATTTAATGTTTGGTTTTATATAAACTTTGGAAGTCCTCTAAAATACAAAAATAATTTGAGGAAGTGGTAGTTCAGTGGTAGTTTTATCAGATGCTTTACTTGAGGCTGTCCTGTGTTGTACAGCATTTTAGACAAAGGCCATGGTTTGCCCACAAATCAAAACCTTCATCCACTTCAATTACTCCAATAAATTTCCGACCCCTAGAAATAAGAGAATGAATATTCAGTATGACATTTTTCTGCGAAGTAAATTCTTTGCTGCATGTGTGAAAAATAATTTTGGGTTTTGAGATGTGTTTTCTCTGGCCAATTGAACAGGTAAAATGTCATTTTTTGATAACTGAGCTTGTTTATTTGAAAATGCTGCCTGGAGTATTTTGAATGTTTCAGAAATGATGGGGAGAAAGCCATACATGCAGGACAGAAATTTCCATCATTTCTCAAGAGGAAGGTGAGAATTCAGTGCTCTAAGGTTAAGCGTCAGTGCTCCTCTTACAGATTAGGCTTTTTACAAGTGAGATTTTGTTTTATACTGAAACCAATTCCAGAGTGTGAAAGTGCAGCTGAAGGCATTTGTCTCCTTAGTGGGTTTGTTAACACCATCCAGGGAGTCTGCTCATTCTGTCGCTTCCAACGTTGACAGCAGAGATTATTCAATGTCTCGATCACTCCAGCGCTGCCGCTCCCTGTGGGGTAGGTCGATGGACTGAGGGGACACCGAGGCACGGGCTGGCAGGAGGAGCCTGTGTTCGGGTGAAATATCTTGGTACTGCCTGGGGTACATGTCTGTTCCCATAATGATAATTTCTCTGAGGTGGTAATTAGTGGAGTCGTGCGCATTCCAGAAGTGAAGTGTGATAGATGGGGTGGATTAAGCTGTTGTTGTTCATGCCTTTTTATCCAACATTTTTTGTAACAGGCCTAAGAAAACGTTTATACTTTCAGATACCTAATGCTGATGTTTCATCTGAAAGTTATTTCTGTCTGACTTTAAAGAGGTGCTAGATTTGTTGACACAGATTCCAGATTTTAGTCCGAGTAGTTTAACAGATCTTTAATCTGAAAGGAGTCACAATGATTTTTAGGAATGACGTGGTGTGGGAGAACAGCATGCTGCAAATACTTGCTTAGCAGTGTAGACAATCGTCATGTCAATGGGATCCAGCTTCAAAAAGGATTTTGGATAGAGAAATAGGGTTTTGTCCAAAGAACATTTGAAGATTATATGTTGTCTGCTTAGGGTTGTGATTTAAGCTTGGGCAAGTTGTGATCGCTTACTTCATGTTTGCTCTGCTTGTGGAATGCTGTACTCAGGGCAAATGAACATATACGAGATGTAGGGCAGATAAGTACCCGGTGCTGCTACATACTGTAGTTAATTACCAGTAGTTCACATTACTGGTGAATGTAGGAGAAGTGTAACTTACTGTAAGGAATTAATCTTCATGTGTAGGAGAGAAAAAGTTGCAGTAGTCTGGCAGTAAAACATGTAGTTCTGAAATGATCCTCTCTATCACATACCACGTTATCCTGCAACTGCTGCCCTTACTGCGTCAGCGGTCTTTGTGTCCCAGGCAAGAAGAAAAAAAATCTTCCTTTCTAATCCTACCCCAGCAAGTGTAATTTGGGAAAATATATTCAAAGAATTGAAATGTTGGAAGTGAATACAAGCTGGAGTTTCATGAATGCTCTCATCAGGTAAAAGCTGTTATGGTTGTTGAAGAGAAACTGTCCCAGTTCCCTCCTCTTGCACTTTCCTTCGCACGCCTGTGACCTGCCCTGTGCACTACCCCAGCCACCCCTTGGTGCCATGGGTGGGACGTGGCCGCTGTGACACAGTGTCAGGCAAAGGCTGTGCCCCACACCTTGTTTCCTTGCTATGCTGGTCTTACGCAGGAGCAGTTCCTCCATTTGGGTTGCCTTATAGCTTCTCAGGTATTGATGTTAGCATGGGGGGCTCGATGAGGACGGCAGGCTGGAGTTAAAGAAAAGCTTTGGCAGCGTTTG